CGCATCTGACTCTCAGGAACACACATCAGGAACACATCTGGTTCTCAGGAATGCCCTGCAAACTGGTGAGCATCCCCTCACTGGTGGGCAATGCCAAAGCCTCCTGCAACTCATTCTGGCAGCTCCAGACTCTGCTTTGTTTCAGCTTTTTCTTCAGATAGGCAAATTGTCTAAACACTGAGGCTTTAGGTACAATACAGCTCATGCCTATTAAATACCGCAGGAAGGTAATTTGCTCCAAGTGCTCCCCCTGGTTAGCAGCTGATTAGTGAATAAATAATTTCCAGAGAACTGCACAAAGTGAACCCTGACAGCACTGAAAGGCTAACAAGACTGGGCAGCAATTTCTTTGCAATTAGTAATTATAGCCACAGAGGCTTGTGATGGTCAGAGACAGAGCTACTAAAAAGCTGGCTGAAATATTTACGGGTGCTGGGGAATATGTCCCTCCATGTTTGCGCAAAGCTTTTGAGGAAAAGCTCAAAAAACAACGCAGCAACCTAATAAAAATCTGCATTAAAAGGAAAAACCAGCAGTTGCCCACCTGTGTCCCAGGCTTACTGCTCTTTTTTTTTTTTTTCCTCTTTCTCTGTCCATCAGGGCAGATTTCACATTGCCCAGGACTCTGTTGAGGCAGAGGGGTGGCTCTGGCACCTGCCTGCAGTGCTGCTGCTGCCAGGCATTTCTCAGCAAAGGCAAAATAACAGGTCGGCTTTTTATTTTTTTCTGATTTGTTTTGTTTCACAAAGTCAGGAACTCCATCTTAGCGCTGAAGCCCGTTGTTAAGGTTTGTGTTATTCTTGGCACACTGACCGAAGTGCGCTGGGTATGAATAGCAGAGAGCTGAAAAGTAAATATTGTATCCTCTGGGATCAGCAGAGAGGGAGGGTGGTGATATTGCTTAATGGAGCACCCCAGAGCCTGTTTGGGTTAGGCTTATAGTAATTGCTCCCTAGGTGAGTTTATACCAACAATTGATCATTTCAAATGGGAAAGAAGTACAAATGAGTAAGAGAATAAACACTGATGGTATTATGAAATGCAGGAGAGGAGAGCAAAAATCACAGGCAGCTCCAGCACGGTGGACAGAAAATCAGGGTTACGGTTTCTTCTACACACAATTTCTCACAAATGCTGAATGATACAAGAAATTGAATTTTCTCCTAAAGCTCAAGCTACAGAGCTGCTTTCCACAGCCTGATCTCCTACAAAGAGTTCAAGGAGACCCCTTTGCTCTCCCATCATCTCCTTCTCCGTCCTGGAAAACATGGGGCTCTTGACATGAATAGCACTTTGCTGTGAGCCTGTGTGTGAGAGGACAAGGAGCAGGAAGCCAAAAGGCGTGATGGAGGAGCTCTGGGCTGAGTAACTTCAGTGTAAAGCCCGCTGTGCCCTTCCACAGGCCCTGGCTTGGGCCACAGCAGCTCTCCCCTGGGTGTAATACCCATGGCCTGTGGGGCATGGTCCCATCCCTTGCCACCAGCCTGTGTTGGTGGGACTGGTCTCCTGCTCCCCTACAGCTGTGTTCCCCCAGCACTGTGTGTCAGCAGTGTGTCCCCACCTGCCACTCACCCAGGGCTGCCTTTAGCCTGCCACATCTCCAGAGGGGCTCCAATCAACCCATAACCAGACTCTGGAGTCTGCAAATGCCCTTTCTTAGGCAGGGGACAACTGCTGACCCAAGGACATGGTCCCAGCCCCCTGGGGACCAGGAGCTGCCTGTCAGTCCCAGTCCTGCTGCTGCAGGGTCACCGCAGCAAACCCCCAGTGCCCACAGGCAAACTGGTGCTGCTTAATGCTTTCTGGGCATCCCTCACTGTGCCTGTGCTGGCAGCTGCTGGTGTTGGCTGTCATGGCCCCAGGCCATCGTCACAGGGACCAGGAGGGGATGCTCAGGTCTGACCTTTTGCGGCTGGAGCAGCATCTGCCTGAGGACAGCAGGAGGGTACTGGAAGGCAAGGAAGGATGGTGATGGAAAGTCCCTATTTTTCCAGGAATTACTGAAGGAAAGGAATGGCCCAGCAGTCACCAGTTGGCTGGGCACTTAGTGCAGTAACTGCTTGGGGGGGGTGAAGGCTCCTGAGCAGGCAGTGTCCTCAGGGATGCTGCCACTCTGGCCAAGCACAGCAGTCCCTGCTTTTGCCCCAAAGTGGCCCCTGTGGCAGCACCCTCCGAAAAGGCTGAGCTGGCAGCCCCAGGCTGTCACGGCGGTTTCTGCAGCTGAGCTCATTAGTGCCTGCAATCAGCAGGGCATGAGGGGGAGATAATTACACAGGCAACACGGCTCTGGCTACGTGCAGGGTCTATATATAGCACCGTGCGGGTTCGCGCTGCCTGTGGTGCTTAGTCATGGCCCCAGGGACCATGTGGGTCTGGATGGGGCAGGCACTGCTGTGTGGGAGCTGTGCCACTGGGCTGTCTGTGGTGTCTGGGGAAAACCATCCAAGCTGAATTAAATGTTTCACTTAACTACATTTTTCCTAGCTGAAAAAATGCAGTGAGTTTTCCAGTGTATTGCCATTTTGAACAAAATGAAAAAACCCCAGTATTATATATTAAGAGGTGTTTTTTTTGGAAAAATACCTCAACAAAAGTTTTCAGCCTGGGGCTAGAGTGGCCATATATAGGTGTACCCCCTTCACAGCCCCTGGAACCCCACAGAGAGGGAATGACATCCCTCTCTGGGGTCATCCCAACACCTGGTCCAACTCCAGGGGTGGCTGTGGAGCAGGGGGGCACCTGGCCCCATTCAGCCCTGGCTACCAAGGTGTCACTATGTGGCACCCACTGTGGTACTTTAGGGCCAGCCCTGACATCCACAGCCACCCTAGAGCTGCTCAGCCACTGGTAAAACTCTGTTTGCCCATCACCCCACCACTCCCCAGTGCTGGTGATACAAGCCACCTGGCCTCTATTTCCAGCATGGCCATTTCCAAGCTGATGGCAAGGTCCTGCCCTGGCATGTGAGGCCCCACGTGTCACTGGTGCCACCCATGTGCCCTGACCAGCAAGCGCAGGAATAAGTCCTTGCAGCAGCATCCCAGGCATGGCAGGGACTGCGCATGTGGGGCTCTCTAGGAGCTGCTCAGGGCATTTGCAGGGGCCCCGGGACATGTCAGGATCGTGACAAAGAGCCAGTGCCAACTATGGGAGTGTGAAACTGCCCACCAAGCACAGGGCAGTAGTGTGGCACTAGCAGGACAGAGGGGAGATGGGCAGCTCCTGGCCATCCAAATGTCCCTACCCAGCTCACTCGCTTCTCACTTGCTCACAGCAAGGCCAGATCACCTTGTTTTTTGGTGAAAATGTGACCCTAACACAACAGGCCACTGCTTCTTTCCCTCTCCTTTAATCCCCTCTTTGTTGTTCCTTCCCCAGGGATGTGAAAATACTCAAAGCAGAGCTTTTGTGCTATTTGGAAATGGATTGGTTCAGCACATCAGAGAGGGCAGGGTCGGGCTGCAGCGCTACCACAGACTGATGTCTCTGCACATGAGTTCCAGGGAGGAGAGCCTCTCCCTCAGTAATGATAAGTCCATTCACGGGCACCGGGGAAGGAGCCCAGGACACTCCTGCCAGACATGGTACACACCATTATTAAGCCAATTAGGTCCCCATCCCTCTCTCTTGCACATGCTCATCACACAGATGCACACACTGACACACAGGCACATGCTGGTTGGGTGTAAAAGCCAGGCTGGAGGGGGGTTATTGTGCTGTGCACCTCCCTGACAGAGACCTGTGCAGGAGCTCACACCTGCTGGCTGGGCTCACCGAGGCAACATTTACTTAGGGAACAGCGTGCTCATGCCTGAAGCTCACTCATTCACAGCACAGGCAGTTCCCAGCTCCTTCCAAACCAACCCCAGCTATGGTGGTGATGATCTTTAAAAATCCAGCTTGTATGCCAGCCAGTTTATTTGCATCACTCACGTGGAACAGATGTGGCAAAAGCTATGTGGGGTGGAACATTCAACTGCCCAGCAGATACACATCAGCTACTTCTCAATCATGATAAAAGCAGGAAATCTCCTATTGCACAGGACTTAGTTGTGCCACAAAAAACAGACGAGGAGGTCTGACATCTGCAGCTTTATTCCTGTACAAAAGGTTAAAGGCAAAGCTAGAAAAATGAATATATTTGTACACGCTCACTGAGCGCTTCTAGGGCAAGGCAGTAAAGCTTTTATTGCTAAGAAGAACCAATGGACAGCTTTAAAGCTCATCTAGCATTCAAATTTTGTTTGTAAGTAACCCAATTTAAAGCAGCTTTTCAGTCTTTAAAGCCTTCTTGCCTTTCTGGAATGCTTCAAAAGGAAGATGACCTGAGGACGGTGTCTGCTCTCTGGAGGGACCAGACCAGTGCTCTGCATGAGGTGCAGAAATGGGCCACTGAGGAATGACAAAGAAAATCCAAGTGCCTGCTGTGGGCTCCTGCTGACTGTCAGACTAGGCAAGGCTGCACGGCACCCAGGGAGCTCACCCTGCCATGGGCAAAGGCAACAGGCTCTGATGGTTCCTTGTCTGTCCCCATGTCCCAGCAGCTGTGGCACAGACATGGATGGCATGTGGCACCATGGATGCCCCAAGTAGAGCCAGGAGCTAATCTGGACAGAGTGACTGTGGATATCCTGCTCCAACAACTGAACTGCCCTTCCTCCTGAAGGGATAAGGTTACAGACTGTGGGATACTGAATGTTCTTGGGATCCCTAGAGATTCCCCAGGGATGCAACGGATCAGAGCTGGCCACCCTTCCCGAGGAACTGCTGGTGCAGATACTAAGGCTTTGCTACAGTTAGAGGTGCTCCCAGGGGTGGTGGGTGTTCTAGTCTTCAGGGATCGGGGTGTTGCAGTTCCCATGGTAAATTTTGACCTCACCCTTGCACTGGAAGTACTGGTCAAACACATCACTGTATCCATGGTCCCTCCACCAGGTGCAAAGCTGCCGGTTCCATGTGCAGTCAAGCACATGAAAAAGCTCTGGGTGCTCCATCCCTACCATAGTGAAGAAATCCTGGTCCCCAAGGTGGCCCTTGAAGTGGTACTTCTCTGTCAGCTTCTGCACCATGGTGGGCTCCAGCAGCTCGTTGTAGAGCTTGGACTGCCTCATGGCTTCCAGGTTCAGGAGCAGGACACCACTGTTGAAGCCTGGCAGCCCATCAGGAGGGGGCTCCCCCACTTTGGTTTGAGGGTTCTCGCGGCGATACTGCCAGAAGGTGTGCCTGGAAAGAGAGAAGAAACAGGAACAGGGGAGTTGGAGAGTGCAGCCTGAAGAGCAGCCACCTCAAGTCTAGGCAGGTCTGGATCACAGCACAGGATCTACCACCCACCCAAGGGATCTTGCAGTGCTTGTCTTTTGCCTGGAGGCACCCAGCCTCTCAGAGCTTTGTGGGCTGCCTTTCTCCCCATCCCCCTGCACAGGATATTGCCCAGACTTCAAACCACTCTGTTTACCATATCCTAAAGCCCGTTTTGTTTCTACCAGCATCATTCTGGTGAGCCAGCTGGACACAGGATCGTGTGACTGCTCACACGGCTGTGTGGGGAGACAAAACCACATACCCAGTGCCTGGGGTGAACCACCAAGAGTGTCCCCATGGCTGGTACACACCAGAACTGCAAGTCCTGCAGTTAATGGGATCTCAACAGCAGAGTTGACAGCATTATTATTATTTGATTATGGGGAAACTCCGGATCAAAGATGGCCTCAGTCTGAGGCTGTGCAATGAGAAGACTTGAAATATATCAGAGTGTCAGAACTACTTCTTCAAAATAAAAATAAAAAGAGAAATCCAATGGCAACATCTCATTAGCTAAACAAGCAGTGCCTTCAGCACTTGCAGCCCTGGGAAGGCTCAGCTGTAGCAGCTCTGGCAGATGCAATCTCCACCAGCTGATTTCCAGCTGCCAAGGAGAAGAGAGTGGTGCAAGTCTAGTAATAAATAAAACTAACTCCAGAAGTGGATTCAAATGGGAAAAATTTTGATTACCTGAGCAAGCAGCCCAAAAATGTCTTTGGCTCCTTCCTCAGCCCTGGGGCAGTGAATACCTCTCAACATACTTACACTGGTTGCTCCCACTTGCAGGAACTGAATTCATCTCATGCTATTACCCAAGTACCTGGGGTTGAATCTGTCCCCAAAAATCACTCCCACTCAGTCTGAAAATCTTCTTCCCCTCAAGCAGCATCCTCTGCTGCAAGGATAAGCACCTGAGAGCTGTCCAAGCCTGCAGTTTGGAGGAAGGCAGGAGGGACATTGACCCCCACCACCCTCTGACAATTCAGGGCTGCCAGCACTGCCATCTCCTTCCAGCCCTCACACTTACGGGAAAGTTACAGCAGGGTTTTTTTACACCTTGCTGTGAAGATGTCAAGGAGAAACACTGTTAGAAAGAAGAAGCCAAGCCTGCCACTGGTTCCTCTTTGAATCTGTCAGACACCAACCAAAGTCTCCATGCAGCTCCAGGCAACGAGAATTTGTTGGTAGATGGTGTAGATTTAGAACCCAAAGGTTTAAAGTGGTCTCATTAATGATGTAAACCGTGAACATACTTTTTATTTCCTGATCTGGAGAACCACAACCATCACGCAGCATCACTTCCTTACAGCTTCCATTTAGATGTTTTAGATTCAAAGCACTGCCATTTCCTGTTTCATTAAGGGTCTTTACACCACTCCCTTTCACCTGATTCAGAATGGAAGGGGTTTTTCCAAGCGACAGTTTTCCACAGAAGGAGGGCCCAGTTTATGGGCAGTCATATCCATGCTTCCTGGGAAAGGGGACTGGAGGATGGGCTGCCTCATTGGATCCCATGGGCAGCAGTGCTTTGTTGGATCTAAAGGGCTCTGCCTCTGCAAAGAGCAGTTTTGTCCTGGGGAGAGGCAAAGACAACTCATGGATGCTCCTGAGCATACACAAGTTGCAAGGCAAAGCACTCTCCATGCAGCATTAGAGGGAAGCTCAGCCTGCAGAACAAGCCCCAGCCATGCACCAGTCAGCCTCCTGAAGTGCTCAGGCCCAGGGGTCTGAACATAACTGTTCAGCTGTTCAAGCTCACCTTTGCTCTCTCTGTTTCTCCCTAGCAGTGCCTAGAAAGCCATCCCCATGCCCAAAAAGTTAAGTTGGAAGCAGACAGGAGGGAGAGGGTGAGGAGTGCTGCAGAGTGCACCTTTCCAGCTCCACAGCAGTGAAGCTGACTCTTTTGATGTTCTTACCTCCAAACACATGCTGCCCAAACTAAGAGACGCGATTACAGCCACTGCAAGCACCCAGGATAAGGAAAATGCAAGCACCCAAGCCCTCAGCATCGCCAGGCCATGGCAGAGCAAAAGCAGATCTGTATCAAATGACTCAAGTTTCCAGCAATGCCTTTCCCCAGCAGATTACTCGTCGAGGGCTGATGACAAGAAAGGAGCAATGTGCCCTTTTCTGCAGGAAGAGGAGACAGACTGACAAGCAGTAATTGTTCCACCCTTCCTCCCAGTGCTGGCGTGACAGGGCTGTCCTCCCCCGCCCGTGCCTGGGGACGACAGGGGAGTGGGGCTGGAAGGGAGGGTAGGGCCATCCCCAGGGGGCAATGCTGAGGTGAGATCCAGAATGTGATGAGCTGTAGGCAGCTCCACAGTGCCCACGGTTCAAGAACTTGCTCACAGCCCTGCACAACAGTCCTGCCAGTGCTGGGCTTGGGCTAACCAAGGGAAAGGTGTTCTGGGAGGGCTGCTGGCAGCAGCTGTTTAGCCTGGATTTTTCTTGGCTTTTGTCCTTCTAATGGAGGGGTTTGGTGCTGTCCTGCAGGGGCCAGGACATAGAGGAGTGTGGCTGAAAGGCACCTGCACCCCGTTGGAAGTTGAGGGAGTGGTGCCTATGGTGCTCTCTTTGGAGGTGATGGAACTGGGGAAGCACAACTAGCCAAACATCTAATCCAGCCTGCACTCCACACCACTCTGTCCTGCTCGGCATCACCCCTTGGCACCCACCTCAAATTTTGGCAAAAAATGGGGGAGAAAACCCAACGGGCTTGATGAGTGTGCTGTCAGGATGTGTCCCTGAGACAATCACCAAGGAACTGAACCCCAGATGCAATGGGGTTCCCTGGCCCAAGCCCCTGGAGTGGCTGGGATCTCCCCTGACACAGGCAGTTCAGGCAGGGCAGTGTTCCACCAGTCTTTGCTCCAGGGTGCCCTCCACTCTGTGCCCCCAGCAGTGAAAGCCTGGGCAGGAAGGCAGCTCGGAGAGGCCGGTCACCAGGGTGCATCGGGGCAGGAAGCTGCCAGGCAGGAGAAGGGGAGGGGAAAGGAAGAGGAGGCATTTTTTGCTTTTGTTAACCACCCTGGTCCCTCTAGATGGGAGGGGAAAGAGATGACCTGTGGCCTCAGACACCATGGTATGGCACCAGGGAGCCGTGTGGGGCTGCTGCCATGAGCACCCGCCTGCAGCCCCAACAGGCTTTGCTTTGAGGAGCTGTTTATAAACAGAGCCGGTGTGTGCTAGGAAACATCTGGAGAAGAGCATTTCCAAGCATTCAAAGGCCAGGCCCAGGCAGCCCAGATAAAAAACCCTCCTTCCACCGGGACTTCCCTTGCTGGCCCAGCACAGGGCGATGTGGCTGCACCTCCCCTGCCTTGCAGCCCGGCGGTCACGAGTCCCAGCTCACAGAGCTGCCATCACACACTTAAAAATGCCTCGATGGGATCAGCTGCCAGGGCAGAGGGGACTGCTCCACCCACCAGCTGTATTCTGCAGGTCCTTCTCTTGCTTTCATGCACAGCAAGGAACAAACAGTGGGTGGGGGGAAGACTTTGTCCAAATCCCTGATCTTCCACTCCTTCACTTCAGCTCTGGGCTATGGGACAACTTCCTGGGATGAGCTGGAAACAGCTAGTAAAGCAGCTGGGTGCCCTAGCTGGCAGGAAAGGCAGGAATGAGGGGTTCCTGCCAGCTGGGAGACCAGCAGCAAGCGGAAAGCACTGGCCCCATAGACAGCACTGCTGGCCTTCTGCTGAGGATGCAGAACCTCACCATGAGGCTGCACCTCCAAGAATGCAGACAGCCTGTGGGATCCCCTCAGGCAGCTGGGGAATTGAGAAGCCAGGTCAAAAAGACATGAAATGAAATGAGATGCTGTGCTAGACCCAGGGTGGCTTTGGCTAGAAGATGCTCCTGGAAGGCTGTGGGGTCTCTGAATGCCACTGTGCACCATGCATGTGCATGGCATGAGCCTATGCAGTGAGGTACCCAGGGAGGAAGGCTGCATAGCTTCTCCCTCATCAAAGGGGGAAGCAAAGGCAACAGTCATGGGATAAAGCCACAAAAATAAGGAATCTGAAAGATTTTGAATGTAATAAATGTCCCAAAATCAGTAATCTTCTTGTTGGAGCTCACCGGTTTGCTTCTACCTCTTGCCAAGCACTGGCAGAGTTTGGGCCAGCTGCCCAGGAGGGCAGGATAGGCAGCAGGAGGCCAGCACCTTGAGGACACACTTTGTCACCAAGCCTCTCTCACAGGGGTCAGGGGCTGCGGGAACCTGAGTCCCATCTAGCCGGGCACAGGGCTCCTGGCACAGAAAGGAAGCATGGGCATCCTTCTCTGAGCCACACCGACAGCAGCCCTGCCAACCCAAACACCAGCTAAAACAAAAAGTGCATGCTCTTGCTCCCTCCAAATACACTGCTCAGCTCCTGAGCCAGAACACAGATGGCTGCCAGCGCTATCCAGCTGCAGCTGCTGGCAAACACGGTGGATCCTGTGCAATGAGCAACGAGGCACAAGCACCGTGCTCTGAGCTCCGTGCGCTGCCAGGGCTCCCCCAGGGTGGGCAGGAGGACATGGCACCTGGCTGTGGCCCCACCAAGCCATCCCTGGCCAAGCTGCTCACATGTTAGTGCCTGGTACCTGTGGAGCCCTGGAGAGCTGGTCAAAGAGGTGGATGGGATGGGATGGGATGGGATGGGATGGGATGGGATGGGATGGGATGGGATGGGATGGGATGGGAGCCTCAGTGGGAAGTATGTAGTATCCTTATGGGGACAGGGGGATGTGATTGAAATGGAGTGGAAGAGAGAGTAAACAGAGACTCATAACAGCTTCAGTTCTGCCTGGAGGAGAGGGTGCAGGCAGTGGGGAGGGAAGAGTGATGGGAATGGCAGCATAGTCCATTCAGAGGCTGATGGTGGCTTTCCCCCTTAGCCCTTAGAAAGAAGTAAGAGCACAGCCAAGAAACC